GGCGACCATTGCAGCCGACGGGCAAGCGAAAACAAGCAAAAAACAAACAAAACCAAGGAATGGGGCCAGCCGAGGGGGCGAGCGACCGAAAGGCGGCGGGCGAGCCTGGGGCGACCAGTGCAGCCGACGGACAAGCGAACACAAACAGAAACAAACAAAACCAAGGAATGGGGCCAGCCGAAGGGCCGAGCGACCGCGGGGCGGCGGGCGAGCCTGAGGCGACCAGTGCAGCCGACGGACAAGCGAAAACAAGCAAAAGCAAACAAAACAAAAAAATGAGCCAGCCGAGGGGCCGAGCGACCGAGACGCGGCGGGCGAACCTGTGGCAACCAGTACAGCCGAAGGACAAGCGAAAACAAACAAAAACAAACAAAACCAGTGCATGGGGCCAGCCGAGGGGCCGAGCGACCGCGGGGCGGCGGGCGAGCCTGGGGCGACCAGTGCAGCCGACGGAGAAGCGAAAAAAAACAAAAACAAACAAAATCAAGGAATGGGGCCAGCCGAGGGGCCGAGTGACCGCGGGGCGGCGGGCGAGCCTGAGGCGACCAGTGCAGCCGACGGACAAGCGAAAACAAACAGAAACAAACAAAACCAAGGAATGGGGCAAACTGAGGGGGCGAGCGACCGCGGGGAGGTGGGCGAGCCCGGGGCGACCAGTGCAGCCGACGGACAAGCGAACAAAAAACGAAACAAAAAAAAACAAAACCATTGCATGGGGCAAGCCGAGGGGCCGAGCGACCGCGGGGAGGTGGGCGAGCCTGGGGCGACCAGTGCAGCCGACGGGCAAGCGAAAACAAACAAAAACAAACAAAACCAAATAGTGGGGCCAGGCCGAGCGACCGCGGGGCGGCGGGCGACACTGGGGCGACCAGTGCAGCCGACGGACAAGCGAAAACAAACAAAACAATCAAAACCAAGGAATGGGGCCAGCCGAGGGGCCGAGCGACCAGCGTCGCCCAGGGAAGTGACAACCAAACCCTAGAAGTAGATTAGGTTTGCGCCCGCCCCCAAAAAAAACAAAAAATATAGATTCTTGAAATAGGAAGGCGCTTAAAGTAGATTGGGATCTGGGAATCCAAAAATACCTACTTTCAACGACCGGTGGGTAAGTTCCCGCAGGCGCCGCTCCTTGTGCCGCTTGCTCCGCTTGGCCGGCGGAGCAGGACAATGGCGCCCCCACTCCGTCTGCAATAGCCGGCTGCCCAACGCCTCGTGACGAAAAAACTGCGCTGATCGAGCTTCCGATGTGCTCCGGGCTCCTGGACAGGAGTGAAGAAGGTGCATCCGTGGCTGCACCTGAACCAACCGCAATCGCCCCCGACGTTTCAGACGAGTCAACTGGTGTAGAAAATGCCGCAGACGTCGCCGCCCCAGGCGCCCCAGCAGGACAACATGTCGAAGAAACTACCCCCGTCGCCGCCTTTGGCGGCCGACCGCGGGCGCGGCGCGGGATCGACAACGTGTCCAGTGGGTCCCCGTCAAAACAACCAGTATCCAAATCCGTGGCCTGACTCAATGGGTCCCGAACGTCTCGACCCACCTCCAAAACCAAAGCTAATGGACAGACGGTGTGCCCGACGGCGCGACCGCCATTGCCATGCGAAATGGTGGCGTCATCGAGCAGCCCCAAGGGGTCAATTTGAGACATCTCCGGCACGGGGAAAAGATGGCGGCAGGCAAACGAACCAAATATCTGAGCAGAGCGAGTTGAGACACTAACGAAATCATAGGACGGCGCGCCGTTTGCTCTGAACGCGCCCCAGTAGACAAATCCGGCACCAGGGCAAACCTGCGGCAATCTCCACGTCCCAGGCGAAATTTGCCGTGGTGGCCGAAAAGTCCCCCGGCCGCGCTCTGGAACAAACGGCGCGGCACCATGTCAAAGACGGTCCCCCTGGACCCCTCGCGGGGCCCCAACGAGCCCGTTGTTCGCGCTGCGCCCGGCCGCGGCGACGAGGGGCCCCCTCGAAGGCCAGCTGCCAGTGTCTCAAATGGCCCAGGCTGAGAATATGCAAACGGACAACACGCCACTGCCAATTTTCCGAAGAACCTCGTTTCCATTTGACCCCCGTGCCCTCTCGCACCCTCCGCCGCGGAGGGCGGAACCGCCTAAAGCAAATTAAGGGTTCCCTGGCGATTGAAACCCAGACTCCCCAGGACCGCAAGGCCAAGACGCGAAGAACCTGTGGGCCCCCCAAGACTTCAGCAACCGACCTGGCCTAGGCTCGGAACTGGCCGAGCCATGGTCCACCTCCTCCTCCTCCTCCTCCCCCTCTCGGCATGTAGCCTGACCCCGCCAGCCATGAGATATCACGTAGACCGCGCTGGCAACCGTCCTCATTCCAAACTCGGCAACGCGCCCGTCTCACAGCATGACTTCAAACGCGCAATCCCTCAAACGCGCAAGCCACTTGCCACTGAAACGGCATAAACAGTACAAGTGGACGTGGATAAGTCCACCGACGCGCCTGCGCACCAAGTGCGTCTCAAGAATGCCTGTGAGCTGCCTGGCATGGGTTCTGTTTTATCACTCCCGAGGCTCCCTGGGTTGCCTGGCGCGCCTCTGGCGCCCTCCAAAGCGTCCACGGCGCAAAATTGTCCCGAAACTACCCAGGCAGGCCACGAAAGCTGCCAAGATGGCCCGAGATGCTTCGAGGACGGTCCGAGTTTGCCCAATGCTGCCCAAGCTTGCTTCATGACTGCCCATGAGGCTGTCAACGCGGCCCAAGAGCTCAACAGAAAACCTCTACCAGGCAAGGCCCAGCGAGATCAAACATACAGGATGCCGCTTGAACAGGTGATTGCTTTCGCTCTCTTACTGCTTCAAGCGTCCGCGGGCTCATGACGGCACGCGAAGCCCTTCCTGAGGGCCTCCAAGCGACGAAGGCTTCAAGAAGGCTTCGAAACGGCCCACGCGTGGTCAAAGAAGGCCCGATCCACCGTCGCGTCGCGGGCCCGCGCTGCTCGGAGGACTGGACGACGACGACGATGACGACGAGGACGGCGGCGGTAATGATGATGATGATGATGATGACGATGATGATGATGATGATGATGATGATGATAATGATGATGATGGTGATAATGACGATGACGATGATCATTGTGATGGTGATTCTGACCAGAAGGATGACGATAAGGACGAGGATGATGATGGCGTTTACGCGGGAGACGAAGGAACAAGTCACGCGCGGCGCCTTGATTCCACACCTCTTCGAAATCTCCAGGGTCTCATTTGGCTGTCTCGGGATTGTCCTGGGCTCCTGTGGTGGAGCGTTCGGGGTGCACTGGTGCCCTCTTGGGCCGCTCTGGGGTTGTCTTGAGGCTCTCGTGGCCGCCACGTGCGCGTGTTGCAGCAGTATGGTCCGTCCAAGATCCTCTGAGGTCGCAGTGGGTCTATTGGGGCGCTCTCTTGGGCCAGTGTGAAGCACTCCTTGAGGGCGCCCTGGCCCGCCCAGGAGTCCTGTCGACAGAAGGGCGAGAACGGACCGACCAGGGAGAAAGGGTTGGCCAAATGGAGAACAGAGGGGCGAATGGCGCAACGTTGCGTTGACAACGGCAAGGACGGTGGCCTAACAGAGATATGCACAGACGAAATAGATGGGGAGGAAGAGACCCCAGAAGGCAATGGTGCAGACCACGGCGCTGGGAATACATGGCGGGTGGACGGAAGTGGATCAGCGAATGGGAAGAATCAGCCTACTCTTCCCGACCGCCCTTTGCCCCTCCAAGTATCGTGTTCAACCAAAGTCAGTCTGTTTCGTTGTTTTGTCGTTTATTTTAAACAATGAAGGACATATCACAGTCGTCCGAAACGCATGAATTACGTATACTTGTCATGTTGATGTCTTTCGTAGTTATGGCGCTGTTTTTCTTGGGGGGTGCGTCCCGCTCGCTGTGCTGCGCACAGGTAGACACGTTCCGAACTAACGTGCGTGTGCGTGTGCGTGTGCGTGTGCTCGTGCGCGTGTGGGTGCGCGTGCGCGTGCGCGTGCGGGTGCGCATGCGCATGCGCATGCGCATGCGTGTGCGTGTGCATGTGCGTGTGCGTGTGCGTGTGCGTGTGCGTGTGCGTGTGTGTGTGTGTGTGTGAGTGCGTGTGTGCGTGCGTGCGTGCGTGTGTGTGCGTGTGCGCGTGCGGGTGCGGGTGCGGGTGCGTGCGTGCGTGTGCGTGTGTGTGTCTGTGTGTGTGTGTGAGTGCGTGTGTGTGTGTGTGTGCGTGCGTCCGTGCGTGCGTGCGTTTGTGCGCGTGCGCGTGTACGTATGTGTGTGTGTGTGCGTGCGTGTGAGTGTGAGTGCGTGAATGTGTGTGTGTGAATGTGTGTGCATGTGTATGGGTGTGCGTGCATGCGTGTGTCGTCCCCACTGGCGCGCCTCGCCCCGAAGATGCGTTGGACACCCCGTGGATTAAGATACAGTGGAACGACCACATGGACGTCCATCGCATGTGCGCGTTCATGGCTCGACGCTGTTTTGGCTCTCTATGCCGAGGCGCCTTCAAAACGAGCGCCCAAACACGCCCCACCACCACACAAACTTCCGAATACGACACGTAAGACTCCGCGACATGCGAGCCCGTGCGCACAAACGTAAGTCGACAGAGCCAGAGACGTCGTGGGGCCAGCGGTGCGAACTTCATGGGCCCCCAGAGTTCCGATGCCGTGATGGCTCAAAAGCAGAGCCCCAAGCCTCGCGATCACTTTCCGAGAACTGTTCGTTCGCCACTGGCATGGCTCGATGAGAATAGGGCCCAGAAGCGGCCCCCAGGCGCAGAGCGTTGTGAAAGAACCCCATGTTGCGTGTATGGTTCAGAGCGATGGCTAGGCTCTCCTCTCCCCCGGGGTGTGCTGACCAGACTCCCGGAAAGCATCCAGCCGTGGCGGCAAGAAGCTCCCCCCGAGGGCCGACAAGGATGGGCGCCGTAGCAAAATCGAGCCTCCAGCTCGAGAAGATCGAGGAGGAGAAGATGAGGCCCCAGAGTCGCTGCAATCGCACGTGTCCTGGCTGGTCCACACCCTCCAGAACGGCTCCGCATCCTCGCGGGCGGGCGCTCTCACGCCCCACTGCTTCATCACTGCCGACGCTCGGACGCGGTGTGTTGTGTGTATCGTTGTTGTTGCTGTCTGCGAGTGTTGCTGGAAGCAATCGACGTCCCCACAGCTCCGCAAAGAGGCGTGCATGGGCCACAATCGAGCGAATAGACGCATCAAGAAACGCATAATAATTAACGGGACAACTCGCCGACTCGCCGAGTGGGCCCCAACGCCAGCCCAAACAGCGGACATAAATCGGGCGCAGCCTTGTATAACCTGCCAAACGTGTGTACCACCCATGTCTCGGACCATGGGTTGCGCGATCCATTTGGTTGGCCTATGAATTGCCATTCGTTAGTTGTACCATAGCTATGAGTTGCACTACATGGGTTTTGTCGTCCACGGGACCCGCCATGGATTGCGCCGTCCCATGGGTTGCGCCATGATCCATCCACGGATTGCGCCATAGGTTGCGCTTTCAGCGGCTGAGGGTAAAGCAGCTTTCTGTGTGTCGCATTATGAGTTGCGCACTCGAAGGTCGAGACGAAAGCGGCATACTGTTGGTTGCGACTGGGGCCGCACCCTCGGCGGCCGAGGAAAGAACTGCTTTGTACTAATTGCGCACTCGACATGCACAGCCTGCATTTGATGAGCCGAAACTGGCGCATTCCGCGGCCTGCGATTGGCGGCGCCAATGATTTCGCACTTGGCGGCAAACCATAACATGGCCTGCTGTTGGCTGCGACGATGCACAATCCTAGGTTGCGCACATGACCACCGATAGTAAAGCTGTTTGCGACTGTTTGCTCCATAACTTGCCCACCTGGCGGCCGAGCCTAAAACTGCCTGCTGTTCCATGCGTCATCAATTACCCATTTGGCGGCTGAGACTAAAACGGCCTGCTAGTTGTTTCACCATAGGTGCACACGGGATTTAACAATAACCTGGCCTGCTATTTTTTGCGCTGTGGGCTGTGCACCCGCCGGCAGATACTGAAACGGCCTGCTAAAGGTGGCGCCATAAGGTGCCCTTCTTGGGCGGCAGGGCTTTAAACGGACTGCAACGCGTTGCGCCATACGTAAGTTGCGCACTCGGCGGCCGATGATCAAACGGCCTGCTGTGTTGCGCCGTGGAATGCGCACTCGGCAACCAAACATAAAACTGCTGGCTATAATTTACGCCATCTATTGCACGCTCGGCTGCCGATAAACCGCACCCGCCTGGCAAGCTGACGCGTGGTGGAATGTCGAGTGTCTGTAGTCTTATAAGCGGCTCCCCACCCCCTCGAAGCATCCAATCGCGTGCATCGCCGCACCCTCCCGAGGTTCCCTGGGCGGCCCGACGCCTAGCTGGCATTCCTCAACGCGTCTGAGATGCTCAAGATGGTCTCCACGACGAGCCACACAAGCCACCCAGGCTGCCAAGATGGCCCGAGATGCATTGCTTGGCATTGCGTGGCATGGTATTGCATTGCTTGGCACTGCCTGGCACTGCCTGGCATTGCTGAGCTTTGCTCGTCATTGCGTTACCTTGTTTTTTACATCATGGCGAGATCAATATGATGTTGATCCCTGCTGCAAGCTAAGCTCGGCGAGAAACCACTCCCAGACGCTTGAGCACCTGCGCACGCACAGGAACCCCGAGCCAAAACCCTGCGGACCACAAGAGGCGCGATTCCAATTGGATCCGCTCGCCCACGCCACGTGCGCAAAAATCCCCTGAACACGAGACCAGCCAGAATGTTCCGGAGCAGCTTCTCCCGAAGGTCCTGCGCACAGACAGCTGGAACATCCAAGTTCAAACCCATCATGAAAACGGCTGCTGAGAAGGGCAGCAACCACTGCCGAGAGAAAGTTCCCCCCCCGGGAAACTGGCTCCAACTGGTCAGAATTCGAGTGCGCCCTGTCCGCCAACGAATCCCACTAGCCTTTTGGGCGACAGGTGGTCAATGGTGACTTTCGTTCCCCTTCCAGAAACCCTTCTTCCCCTTCGGGGAGGGGTTATCACTGTCTCTATTTATAAACACCCCCTCCCCCACCCGGCCAGCAGCCAACCCGGAACCATGCGAACACCATGAGGGCACCCCTCCCACCATCCCTGCCAACAAAAATACAAAAAGGCACTCTGCCTTCAAATTCGGAGCATGCGCAACCAACCTGATGCGCCCCCCCCACCATACCTGTCAAAAACCAATACACAATACACTTGGGGGCAAAGTCTGGAGTCATATTCGTGAGGCCCGCGGGCACTTTGTACTGTTTTGAGACAAGGACGGCGGGGGTGTCAGCAGATTGCCTGCTGCGAGCACGGCTACCCTCCCTGACAAACACGCAATACAAAATGAACCTCGCGGCTAAATGTGGATAGTGCGAGGCCGCCCCGCGATCATTGTCAAGTGGTTTTTGTCAGGGACGGCGGAAGTGGTGGCGTATGGCCTGTTGTGCGCAGGCCCACCAGACACAATGATGGGCATTGGTTTTCGATACGGATGGTGGGGGCCGGCATGTTTCCCAATGTGTGCTGTCATGTGCGCAGGCGCACCTGACACACTCTGCACGGGCCCTGGATGTGGCGCACCTGGCGCGGCTGGGGGGAACATCTGGCGCTTTAGGCGTGCCTGGGCCGCTCGGGCCCCAGGGGTGCCAGGCGCGCGTGGCGCGCCTCGCACGCGTGGCGCACTTCGCCCCAGCGTCGCGCTCATGGGCTCGGTGTTGGTTCCCAGTAGTTGCCCATCAAAAGACGACCGCGGAACATGCTCAGGCTCGGGTGTTATTTATGTGTTGGGATGGCGGGTGGGAGTGAGCTAGACAGTTTGTTATCTGAAAGGGTGTCTTGACCCCTCCCCCCACCCTTTCCCCTGGACCTGGACGGGAGGGGCCGCGATCCGTTGGAACGTTCAAAATCGGCCCATTGGAGTGCCAATTTCTGACACCCCTGGAGGATCGTGGCCCCCGAGGGGGGGGCGCCGATCGGGGACCCTCCCTCCGTCGATCGATAGCCTCGAAAGTGGCCCCAAGAGGCGCTCCAGGACTCCCGACAGAGCTCAAGCAAGCCCCAAGAGGGCTCCAAGAGGGCCCCAAGAGGCACCCGAGAGGCCCCCGAGTGGTCAAAGAGAGCTGGCTCAGATAGCCCAAGCTGGCTCAAGATGATCCCCCAAATGCTCCAAACGGCCCGAAGACCGTTCCAAGAGCGCTCTAAGAGAGCCCCAAGAAGCGGCTTGCCGGCTCCTGAGTGGGGAGTTGAGTTGGGAATCCCCCCATCCTATAATCGATGGCCTCCGAGTTGATCCCAAGAAGCTTTCCAAGGTTACCAAGAGGGTTCCAAGAGGGCCAAACAAACTCCCAGAGAGCACCAGCAGCAGCAGCAACCGCAAGAATACCTCTAGATGGTTCCATGAGTCCTCGCCCGCGTCGTCCTCATCCTAGTCCTCGTCCTCCTCGCCCTCCTCGTCCTCATCCGCGCCCTCCTCGTCCTCCTCGCCCTCCTCCTCCTCCTCTTCCCCTCCCCCTTTTCCTCCTACTTTTCCTCCTCCTCCTCCTCTTCCCCTCGCCCCCACGCGGCACCCAAGGATGGCCCGAAGAGACCGTCCAAGGCCACACCTTTGCTCGCTTTGTTTCCCTAGATGTGTCTCTTCGTTCCTTTTCCCGTCAATTCTGGAGGGCAGGGTTCTGAATGGGCTGGCGGGGATACGCGGACCGTGAAGAATTACCCCGCCCCCCCTACATCAACGGCGCCTCCTGTCCACTGGCCAAGAGGCGTTTGCACGGGGACCGTCACCAATGCAAGTTGCTGAACGTCAGCTCTCGACTTGCCCAAGCTCCGGCGGACACAGCGCACTACCAGAGAGAGCCACGGGATGACCGGACCCAGCCACGGAGAGATCGCTGCATTTGGGCCACCAAAAAGATCATCCACTGCATCCGTGCCCAAATCAAGCACGACCATCGCCAATATGCCAAGCCACGCACCTAGAGGCACCTCCGATGCCCCGGGAGCGTGGAAATTATCAGCTGGCATGAAATCAGCCACGCCCGGTCGCGCTATGCCCAGCAGGGCCCTGCACAGAAGCTTGCGCCGCAACTCTTTGTCCCAGGGAACCTCGGCGCCAAAGCGTTCGGCGATGAACTCTGCGATGGTGTCCCTGACATTATCCGTGTACTTCACGGCGGACTCCAGGTATTCGCCGCCCTCATTGAACGCGCAAGTCTTTGAGTCCATGTCGGGGAACAGGGTCTTGAGAATCATGGTCTGGCCCTTTTGAGCTGTGTCCAAGGCGGCCTCTGGGGTCGAGGTAGGCCCAGGGCCGCCGCCAAGTCGCGGAGGCGAAAAGGCCCCGCCCGCGGGCAGCCCAGCGCCCTCCGATGCAACCGCGTGCTGTCCCTGGAGAGTGATGGCGGATTGCTGGAGTTCCTCGTCCAGCTTGTTCGATAACGCGTCCGCAAGCAATGCGCCCTGCTTGCGGCGCTCCGCCCCCCGCTTCTTGTCCTCCTCAGCTGCGACGAATTTCCGGTAAGACTGGTTTCTGGCCTCCACGACTTTCTCGATATTCCTGCGGCGCTTTGCCGACGCACTCCGCGAAGAAAAAGACACGGCGGCGTCGACGATCCCGGCCATGGCGCCTCCCTCGGCGATTATCCCAGTCACTGTCCCAATCGCGATGATGCGAACCTCGGCAAGAAAGACCATTGCCCCTGTCGCACCATGGCCCTGCGCGCCCCAAGAGCGCGTTTCTTTATGTTCGGCGATGACGGGCGTCATGGGGAGGAGGGGCGGCGAGGGGGGGTATGACGTAACGCCCCCCCCGCCGTGTGGCTCCGGCACTGCAGCCGCGCCCGCGCGCGCGACGCGACGAGCGACGAGCGACGACGACGACGACGACCACGACGACGACGACCACGACGACGACGATCACGACGACGACGACGACGTCGACGACGCGAGCAGCATGTAGGTGGCGATATGCCCCACTGCGCCTGTGTACACCACAGTGCTCGCGTGCACCACAGCGCGCGTGTATACCACAACGCCTGCGTACACCGCAACAGCCGTGTGCAACGCAGCGCCTGTGTACATCACGGTGCTTGCGTACACAGCGCCGGCGTACAATTGCACACCGCAGTTACCATGTGCAACGCAACGCCTGTGTACACCACAATGATTGCGTGCACCGCAGCGCCTGTGCACGCCACAGCGCGCGTCTACACCACAGCATCCGCGTGCAACGCAGCGCTGGTGTACACCACAATGCCTGCGTGCATGGGACAGGTAGAATGAGCATGTACGTGAGGATCTGTTGCGGACAACTAAACGCCACTCCAAGAAATTGCTGATAATCGAATGCGACGTTTTTCCCTCCTCCCTCCTCCTATTCATCCACCTCCAACTCCCCCTCCTCCTCCTCCTCCTCCTCCTGCTCCTCCTCCTCCTCCTCCTCCTCCTCCTCCTCCTCCTCCTCATCCTCCTCACCCCCTGTCGTGCGGGTTGGCGCTACAGCGCACGTTCGCATCCCAGCGCGCACCGCAGAATGCTCTATTGAATCGGTCCACTTGGTTCTGGGACGGCCAATTAGCTGGAACCTCCTGGACGCAAAGGGAGGAGTTGGGGTGATGCGGGCGGAGTCGGGAGGACACGTACATTCCAGCGGCGCTCCGCTGTCCATCAGGATGATTTTGCATTGTTTGCTGTAGCATCCACAAGCGCTCCATTCTGCCATAAGGATTTGTTCTCACATTCTATGTACAACAATGGTGCTGTGTTGGACACGGTTGCTGTGGTGCAACCAGGCGCCGTGGTGCACACACGCACTGCAATGCACGCAACAATTGTGGTGTATACTGGTGCTGTGTTGCACACGGCGGATGTGGTGTGCACGAGAGCTGTTGCGCCCGCGCGCACGGTGGCACAAACGGACGTTGTGTTGCACTTGGCTGCTGTGGAGTACATAGGCAATGGTGTACACAGGCGCTGCGGTGCACGCAGGCACTGTGGTGTACACAGGCGTTGTAATGCAAATCGCCACCTACATGCTGGTGCTACCCGTCCTCCGTCATTCCTAGGCATCCCCAAACGCCGCCGGCGCGAAACGTGACGTCATCGACCCCCTCCATCCCCCCTATATGATTGCCGTCATCGGCCCCGAATAAAAACAGGCTTCAGCCGCGTCCGCGCGCACGACGACTATGAGCGACGAGCGACAAGCCACGACCGACGACGACGACGACGACGACGACGACGACTGCGGACCAGACTCCTATTCGGATTTTTACGTGGACACCTACGCGGATCCCAATGCGCACAACGGCAATGCTCGGAGCGCACTGGGGGGCAGTGCCCGGAGCGCACTGGAGAGGGGACCGTTACGTCATGGAGGTGAAGCCATGCCCCAAGCAACAAAAAAAAACACGCTCCACCCGGCGGCCAGCGGCCGACGCGAAGGCGACGCACATCCGCCAGAACTGTCGGGCCAGCAGACACTCTGGACGGCGAGGCGAGGGAACGATAGAATGACGAACGGGCCCACCCAGAACGGACGCCCCAATCAGCCAGATTCCCAACCCGAACTCCACAATCGCGCAGGCCGCGAGAACAACCCCAATCTCAAAGAAAAACCTTGCTTGACAGATGCGACCCCGTAGAACGTCTTGGATGCGTGAAAATGAGCACGGGGGGCCGTCGTCCCGAGGCAACGCGTTGGACTTCGACCTCTCTCCTGCTCCGAAAAAGTCCACTCTCGATTCACATACGCAGGGCCCCGCGCCAAGCCGCATGGGGAAATCGAGAAGTCCAAGTGCGCCCAAGTGAGCCACGTCGGATCCACGCTCGGCTCGGACCGGAAGACCACAAAGAAAATCTCGCTGAACAACGATCCGAGGACAATGCAGGTAGCTAAACGAAGGCACGTCGACCACGCATCTCGCCCGAATCTACCCGCTCCTGAATGTCGTCGCACGATGATCACGAAAACCCAGCCTCAACCTCGCGCCGCCCGAACCAAACCCCCGCTCCTCCGCCGCGAACCTCGCCGAGACCACCGACCCAGACAAAGCGCCCCCTATTGAGTGCTCCAAGAAGCTCGAGCACAATGTCGTTTGAACATGCGAGGTTGTGACATTGTACACTGTTACCAATAGAAGCGAATGCGCAAGCTCTGCGATCGAATGGGGGCATCAATGCGAGGTAAACATGGCACGGGGGGGTGTTTTGCAATTCCTGGGCTCGCAACCGACTCCGAATCACTACCAATCCGTTCCTGGCTCGGCCGGCCGAACGCTTGAAACAACAACCGACGCGCGTGGCCCTTGACTGCCCAAAGCATGGTTTTCAGAGCGCACGCTGCTTTGGACGCGTCAGAAACTCCCCGCGGCATTCCAGACACGACAGCAACGCTGCGCCCTGCACGAGACACGACCTCCCAATTGTCCAGCCCCCGGGGTAAACGACGCGTTCACGATCATGCAGAGACAGATGCCCAATGACTTGGAACATGCGTGGATGCCCTCGTCGGTGTAGCACCTGGCCACTTGACAAACGGAAAGATGGGCGGAATCTCGGTCGACGTGCCCCCGAAGGCACCAGGCCCGGATTTTCTTCGTCATCCACGCTGGCACCCTAAGGGCGCCGCGGACATGATGCCGCGGCAGGACCGCCACGTTGGACAATTCCGTGCCAAACGTCCACGATTCCGAATCAGCACGCAAAAACGACACCATGTGCGGATGTATACCGAGCCTAAGCATCTCATGCCTTCTGGTTCTGGTTCTCACGGTCGTGCCAAGTGATGATGTCTGCATTCTGAATCACATTCGCCATGTCCTGCTCTATCTCGCACTGTCGCGGTGGTCGATCAATCCAATGACGCAATCGCGGAACCACTTCCTGCAACTTGTATCGCTTAACCCCGATCACACGAGGTTCCAGCTGATGTGATAGAGCCCATGATTACCATTGTTTGCGTATCTGTCGCTCAGCTGTTTTCTGTCACCCTGGCGCCCGATGCCCACAGCGAGTCCGAAGATGTGCGAAATCCCCCATTTCCTCGCGAAGGAAGCCAAGTAGAGCGTGCTTCCAAGGGTCTTTCAACACCCACATAATATTGATCTTGTCAGCTGGCGCACACACACCACTCCCAAGCTACACAATTACGAGGATGATTGAATCCACCGCGTACCAGCTCCCGGCGCTCCGACACATTCTGATACAGGACAGCTGGTACCATCCATGGTTGGACCCGCATTGGTGCTAGGATATATGTTCGGCACAGATGGTCCCAAACACGAAATGCTTGAAGCGCGGATGGCAGACTTGAACTCCCATTCCAAAGATATGATGCGATTTGGCATGCGATGTGAGCAACACGAACCCGCCGTATAGGAGGACAGAATGTTCCAAACGCCTGTTCACTCCCAAAATATGATGTCCGCAGACGCGCTTTTGAAACACATGGGTCCATCAACCGCGCAACTCCACGCGGACCAACTCGCAGAAAATCTCCCCTTGTGGATGGAAGCGATATGAAACAGCGAACGCTGCCTTGCACGAAGGAGACCTCAAGCCGAAGACATGGCGCGCGAGGGGTCCAACGCAGCGCCATATACAGCGCTGTTCCACATCGATGCTGAATGGCTGGCCCGGCGAAGCCGCTGAGGAGACACCCGCCGACGCCGCAGTCGCATCGGCCGAAGACATGACCAGGAGGGCGGCGCGTTCCGAACTCCACGGTGGTTTTTGCGGCGCGGAAAAACCCGACATGGGCCGTTTCGGTCGCGGATGCCCTGAACACACTCCGACTTCAAGCAACGGCAGAAACGCCGCTGAGCCGATGGACGACCAAAGCTGTCTGCACCGTTGCAAAATATATTTCGGGGGCGCTGGGCAACACAACGCACCATAATGTTCTAAACATTTCTGGCCCAAACCACTCTCATCGTTTGTCCCGGGCGCCCGCGGCAACGCCGGCGCACTGGGAACTGTGGCCCCAAATCGATTACACCCATGACAAAAACATCTGCAAGACTAGGCATGTGCGAAAACACCAAATTGAAATGGGCATCGAAACTATACCGGAGAGACACCCCAATCATAATATGTTGGGGGGCTGTGGTGCTATGTGGGCTCAAGGGCTATGAGACTATGAGGCTATTGGCCAAGAAGGCTAGAGTGTTATAGGGCTATAGGATTTTGGGCTGTTGGTTTATAGTGCTATGGGTAAAAAACTATGGGGATATAAAGCTACACGGCTATAAGGCCATTGGATTATAGGGCGAGAAGGCTAGATGGCTAGAGGAGGAGAGGGCTTGAGGGCTTGAGGGCTATAGGGTTGTAGGATTATTGGGCTATTGGGCTGTTGGGATATAGGGTTGTGGGGCTAAGGGGCTGTGGGGATATAGGGTTCTGGGGCGCCCGGGCGGGCCGCCGAAATCGGCGACGCAGCTCCTGGGCACCGGGGCGCCCGGGCACCCATGCGGGCCGCCAAAACCGGCGACGCAGCTAACCTAACCATATGAACCCGCTGGGACCCGTATACAAAGGCAAGCTCTGATTGTGGAAAACACTCAAACGTTGCATGCGGCAAGACGCGCCCAATGCTTTGCGATCACGTCGGAGGCCGCTGCGCAATGCCCGCCAACTTGAACCGAACCATCGCCGACGCCACAAACGTTAGAACAAACGCATGATGTTTAGCGCGTGGTGAAGACCCATACTTCACGCGTGGCGGGAATCATTTTCGAAACAACCAGGCACGTTGTCCGCGTGAAAGTCGGAGTTGCCGGGGGCGCGGGGCCCCCCGGCAAAACCGAACGGGTTGCCGGCGACGATGCCGCGACAACGAGGCGATACTAACTTGCGCTGCTCGCCAGAAACTGGCATTATACATGGCTTCGCGCTTTCGATT